CACAATCAAACACCTGGGAGTCTGCACAATCAAACATCTGGAAATCTGCACAAACAAACACCTGGGCATCTGCACAAACACCTGGCAATCTGTACAATCAAATATCTGTGAATCTGCACAAACACCTGAGAACCTGCACAAACACCTGGGAATCTGCACAATCAAACACCTGGAATCTGCACAAGCAGCTGGGAACCTGCACAAACACACACCTGGGAATCTGCACAATTAAACACCTGGGAACCTGCACAAACACCTGGGAATCACACAAACAGCTGGGAATCTGCACAATCAAACACCTGGGAATTTGCACAAACACCTGGGAACCTGCACAAACAAACATCTGGGAATCTGCACAAACACCTGTGAACCTGCATAGCTCCTGCACAAACATCTGGGAACCTGCACAAACACCAGCACAAACTTCCTCCAGGCGGCAATCAGGAGCATTCCTGCTGCTCTGGCTCTCCTGCAGCAGCCGTGCTGCCCAGGGAATGCCAGCCCACCCTTCCCACCCCTCGGGAGGACATCCCACCTTTTCCTGCTCCAGCTGGAAAATCCCCGGGGATGGAGAGCACCGGAACCCAAAGCAGTTTGTGGAGATGGCTCTGGGGGTTCCCACCTGTGCCACACCTGCACAGAAGGATGAACCCTCCCTGGGCCAGGTCTGGGCATGGCAGCACCGCTCCAGAAAGGTCCTGCATAATTCAGTACGGAAATCCTCAATAAACATCAACATTGAACATCACTGTTTGGCACTGAAATCCTCACCAACAAATGTCACTGTTTGTTTGGCATTGAAATCCTCATTAAACATCACTGGCATTGAAATTCTCATCATGAAACACGGCTGGCATTGAAATCCTCACCATTAAACATCATGGCACTGAAATCCTCACCATTAAACACCACTGTTTGTATGGCATTGAAATCCTCATTAAACATCACTGGCCTTGAAATCCTCACCAATAAATGCCAAACTGTTTGCTTGGCATTGAGATCCTCACCATTAAACATCACTTTGGCATTGAAATCTTCACCATTAAATATCACTATTTGTTTTGGTACTCAAATCCTCAGCATAAAACATCACTGCTATTGAAATCCTCACCATGAAAGATCACTGTTTGGCATTGAAATCCTCACCATTAAACATCCCTGGCACTGAAACTCTCACCATAAAACACCACCGGCATTGAAATCTTCACCATTAAACACCACTGACATTGAAATCCTCACCAATAAACATGTCTGTTTGGCATTGAAATCCTCACCATTAAACATCCCTGGCACTGAAACTCTCACCATAAAACACCACCGGCATTGAAATCTTCACCATTAAACACCACTGACATTGAAATCCTCACCAATAAACATGTCTGTTTGGCATTGAAATCCTCACCATTAAACATCCCTGGCACTGAAACTCTCACCATGAAACACCACTGGCATTGAAATCCTCACCAATAAATGTCACTGTTTGGCAATGAAATCCTCACCATTAAACACCATTGGAATTGAAATCCTCACCAATAAACATGCCTGTTTGGCATTGAAATCCTCACCAATAAACATGCCTGTCTGGCATTGAAATCCGCACCATGAAACATCGTTGTTTGTTTGGCATTGAAATCCTCAGCATTAAACACGGCTTGCAGTGAAATCCTCACCAATAAATGTCACTGTTTGGCATTGAAATCCGCACCATGAAACATCACTGGCATTGAAATCCTCACCATTAAACATCACTGGCATTGAAATCCTCACCACTAAACATCCCTGTTTGTTTGGCATTGAAATCCTCACCATTAAACATCCCTGTTTGGCATTGGAATCCTCACCATGAAGCACCACTGGCATTGAAATCGTCACCATGAAACATTGAAATCCTCACCAATAAATATCACTGTTTGGCACTGAAATCCTCACCATGAAACACCACTGACTTTGAAATCCTCACCATTAAACATCCCTGTTTGGCATTGAAATCCTCACCAATAAATGTCACTGTTTGGCACTGAAACTCTCACCATTAAACATCCCTGGCACTGAAATCCACACCATTAAATGTCGATGTTCAGGATTGAAATCCTCACCTTTACCCATCGCTGTTTGGCCAGAACAGACAGAAGAAATTTCCACAATATCCCTGCTAAACCTCCCCCGGCCCAGCCTGAGGCCGTTCCCTCTCCTCCTGTCCCTGTTCCCCGGTATCAGGTCCCAAATCCCCCCGGCTGTCCCCTCCTGTCAGGAGCTGTGCAGAGCCACAAGATCCCCCCTGAGCCTCCTTTGCTCCAGGCAGAGCCCCTGCCCAGCTCCTCCAGACCTTCCCAGCTCCATTCCTGCCCCTGAACTCTCTCCAGCTCCTCGATATTCTCCATTTCAGGAGGGTCAGGGTCAAGCCCTCGGTGTGGGGAAGGCGTTTTACAGAGAGGAGGAGGGAGCAGGAACAGGGAAGGGGGTGTGGAAGCACCTGGCAGTGCAGAGGGATAGAGCAGCTGATCAGCCAGGAGGAGTTATCAACCAGGAGTGATCAGCCAGGAGCAGGGATCAGCCAGGAGTGATCAGCCAGGAGGAGTTATCAACCAGGAGTGATCAGCCAGGAGCAGGGATCAGCCAGGAGTGATCAGCCAGGAGGAGTTATCAACCAGGAGTGATCAGCCAGGAGCAGGGATCAGCCAGGAGTGATCAGCCAGGAGGAGTTATCAACCAGGAGTGATCGGCCTGGAGCAGGGATTGGCCCCAGGAGCAGGGATCAGCCCCAGGAGCAGCAGGGATCAGCCCCAGGAGCAGGGATCAGGAGCAGGGATCAGCCCCAGGAGCAGGGATCAGCCCCAGAGGCAGCGATCAGTCCCAGGAGCAGAGATTGGCCCCAGGGATCAGCCCCAGGAGCAGGGATCAGCCCCAGAGGCAGCGATCAGTCCCAGGAGCAGAGATTGGCCCCAGGGATCAGCCCCAGGAGCAGGGATCAGCCCCAGGAGCAGGGATCAGCCTCAGGGATCAGCCCCAGGGGCAGGGATCAGCCCCAGGGATCAGCCCCAGGAGCAGGGATCAGCCCCAGCAGCAGGGATCAGCCCCAGGAGCAGGGATCAGCCTCAGGGACCAGCCCCAGGAGCAGGGACCAGCCCCAGGAGCGGGGATCAGCCCCAGGGACCAGCCCCAGGGACCAGCCCCAGGAGCGGGGATCAGCCCCAGGGACCAGCCCCAGGGATCAGCCCCAGGAGCAGGGATCAGCCGCAGGAGCAGGGATCAGCCTCAGGGATCAGCCCCAGGGGCAGGGATCAGCCCCAGGGATCACCCCCAGGAGCAGGGATCAGCCAGGAACAGCAGGGATCAGCCCTAGCAGCAGGGATCGGGAGCAGGGATCAGCCAGGAACAGCAGGGATCAGCCCCAGCAGCAGGGATCGGGAGCAGGGATCAGCCAGGAGGAGTGGAGATATCAGCCAGGAACAGGGATCAGTAGCTCAGCAAAGCCCAGCCTGGGAATTCAGGCCGGGAGATGCAGCCCTGGGCTGAGCGCCGGGGCCAGTGCTCTCCCGGGACAGGAGAGATAAGGGGCAGATAAAGGGTCCGGCCTTGGAGACAGTGGAGATAAGGGGCAGATTAAAGGTCTGGCCTCCGGGACAGGGGAGATAAGGGGCAGATAAAGGGTCTGGCCTTGGAGACAGGGGAGATAAGGGGCAGATCAAGGGTTTGGCCTTGGATGGGCCTTTCCCCTCCGGACACCGGCAGTGCCTGCGGTCTGTCCATCCCCCAGCCCCGTGTCCGTCTCCCAGCCCCAGCCCGGGGCCAGGATTCACCCCCGGCTCTGCTGCCTGTTTTGGGGGCCCTGACAGGCACAGGGTGTGCTCCAGCCCCATTTTTGGGAGTCACTCCTGATGGTGCAGCCTGGCGCAGGAAGATGAGCTGAGCCGTTCTCTGGAGAGGAGGAACGGCGCTCTCCAGCCCCGGGCTGGGCTCTGAGGGCAGCCCCGACCCCGCACCGGTGACCGGCACGTCCCCGCTCCCGCAGGAGCTCCGGGGTCACGGTGCTGCCACCTGCGGGGCTGGCACCGCGCACAGCTCCGGGACCCAGACCAGCAGAACCCTCCGGGAGCCTCCAGCGGCCCCGCAGGGCGGTCACCGGCTGCCCAGCACGGCCGGTCCCACCGGAACCGGGGCCGCGGGACGGGCCTGGACTGACCCGGGGCTCTCCACGCCGGGGCACGGCGAGCCCAGCTCCGGGGCCTCACACAGCGAGCCCGGCATCCGGAACCCGGCACCGGGACACGGCGAGCCCATCTCGGCCTCCGGTACCGGGACACGGCGAGCCCGGCTCCTGCCCCAGACACCCCAGAGCAGGGCAGGGTGAAACGTGAGCCCTTGCAGCCGCACCAGCAGCCGCACCGGGGCACGGGGGATCGGCTCCCTGCACATCTGGGCACCGTGAGAGCGGCTCCCCGCACCGGCACAACCCGCACCGAGACACGGCGGGCTCGGCTTCCAACACCGACACACGGCGGGCTCGGCTTTCCACACCAAGACACGGCGGAATCGGCTTCCAACACACCGAGACACGGCGGGCTCGGCTTCCAACACCGACACACAGCGGGCTCGGCTTTCCACACCAAGACACGGCGGGATCGGCTTCCAACACCGAGACACGGCGGAATCGGCTTCCAAAACCGGTACAGCCCGCACCCAGACACGGCGGGCTCCGCTTTCCACACCGAGACACGGCGGGCTCGGCTCCTCATACCGAGACACGAATCGCTGTGGCATGGCGAGCTCGGCTTTCCTCACCGGCACAGCCCGAGCCGGGCATGACCGAGCTCGGCTCCCCGCTCCTCCGGCTGTCCCCGGGGACTCGCTCCCCGCATCGCCCTCCGGCCGCGGCCCTCGCCGTGTCCCGCACAGCCCGGTGGCCCCGTCCCCATCCCCATCCCCGGGATCCCCGTCCCCATCCCCGGCACCCCCGTCCCCGCCCCGGCCTCCCCCCGCCCGGCGTTCCGCGCTCCCACCTGCTCGCGGCGCTTCTGCCAGCGGCCGCAGGGACTCTCCTCCAGCACCTCGCTCTCCTCCTCGCTCTCCTCCTCCTTCTCCTGCGCCAGCCGCGCGTCCGGCTCGGGCACCGCCATCCCCGCCGCGATCCGCGCCCTGCGGGCTGTGCCGAGCTGTGCCGGGCTCTAGTCCGACCCGACCCGCTTAGATCCGAACCGACCCGATCCGCTTAGATCCGATCCAATCCGACCCGAACCGAACCGATCCACTCTGAACCACCTCGAGCCGAGCTGATGCGCGCCGAACCGAAGCGAACCGAACGGAACCAAGCCGAAGGGGGCGAACCGGAGCCGAGCCGAGCCGAGCCGAGCCGAGCAGCACCGCAGCGCCCCGAGCCCCGCCGCGCTCTGCCGGTGCCGTGCGGGGCCGGCCCGGGCTCGTCCCGCCCCGCTCCGGACGTGCGGCCGCGCACGCTCCGCCCCGCCGGGAGGGGCTCCCGCATCGCCGGCAGCTCCCGCACTCCCGGTGGGGCTCCCGCACCGGGCTCGACCCGCTCCGGGTCGTCCGGTGCGTGTCCGTGTCCTGCCCCACAAGCGGCCGCCGGTTCCCCCCTCCGGGGCCCCGGGACTCATCCCACCCTCGGAGCCCCGTTCCCGTCTCTCCCCTCGGAGCCCCGCTCCCGTCTCTCCCCTCGCAGCCCCGTTCCCGTTCCCATCCCACCCTCGCAGCCCCGTTCCCGTTCCCCCCTCGGAGCCCCGTTCCCGTCCCACCCTCGGAGCCCCGTTCCCGTCCCTCCCCTCGGAGCCCCGTTCCCGTTCCCGTTCCCCCCTCGCAGCCCCGTTCCCGGGCCCGTCCCGTGCCCCTGGGGCTGCCTTGCCCTCATCTCGGGGGTCCCCCCGTGCCCGCTCCCCCCGGGCCGTGCCAGGGCCGCCTTCCCTCGGAGCCCCCGCTCCGGTACCGGGGTCTCTGCGGGACCCCCTGGCCGGGCCCCGGGCACCCCAAAAAGTCCAGACCAGCCCCCACCCGGAGCCCAGGAGATGTTTTCGTTCCACCGGCAACTCTCTGGCTCGTTAGATTTTTTTTTGGGGAGTTTTTTTTTTCTTTTTCTGGCCGTCTCAAGTTACTTTTAGCCCTCGTCCCACCCTTTTTCCGCGCGGCGCTGGCGCCTGGCGGGCTCGGGCTCGTCCTCCCCCTGCGGGCTGCGGCTGCTCCGGGTGACCGAGGGGACCGCGGGGCCGGGGGCGGGAAGGGCACGCCAGGTACGGCCACAGCATCCCGGGCTGGCACGGGACCAGGGAGCAGGAGGTGTGTCCTGGTGGGGGCCACCACCAGGTCCCTCTGGGCCACCACCAGGTCCTGCTGGCCACCACCAGGTCCCCCTGGGTCACCACGAGGTCCCTCTGGGCCACCACCAGATCCTTCTGTGCCCCCCAGCCCCTGTTCCAACCCGGTGGCAGGAGCTGCCAGAGTGGGTCACCTTGTCCCCTGTGTGCCAGGGTTGGTCACCATGACCCCTGTGTGCCAGGGTGGGTCACCTTGTCCCCTGTGTGCCAGGGGCTGTCCCTGGGTCACCTTGTCCCCTGTGTGCCAGGTGGGGCTCCCAGGGTTGGTCTCCTTGTCCCCTGCGTGCCAGGCAGGGCTGGAAGGGGTGCCAGCCCCTGGCTGTTATCACGGCAGACTCTGGGAATGAGTTCAAGGACCAGGGATGGAAATGTTGTCACCAAACACAAACCGAGCTCCACGCCCAGGCACCGTCCCCATCCCCAGAGCCCCTGCAGCACCCTGGGGCCACCTCCTGGCCTCTGCTAGCTCCTGATGGCACCCCCGGGGCCACCTCCCAGCCCCGATGGCAGCCCTGTGACCCTCTCCTGGCCTCTATGGCAGCCCTGTGACCATCTCCTGGCCATGGCTGAGTCCAGCTCCCAATGGTGCCACCCCTGTGAGCAACTCCTGGACCTGCCTTTCACCACCTCCAGCACCCCCAAAAGGGATGAGCAGATAAGCAATGCCTTGGCAGGGTTTGCTGATCCACTAAAGTTTCTGGGTGGTTGGGCTGCAGTGCTGGCTCTGGTGGCACAGGGAGGGGTGGTACAGGTGTGGACAGGTGAAACCAGTTCCCGAGCTGGGACAGCACCTGGGCTGGGGCCGGGCAGGGCTGGAGCTCGGGGAGGGCACGGGGAGGGCACGGGGAGGGTACAGGGAGAGGCTCCTCAGTGTCCCACACCTGTCCTCCCCTCTGCAGCTCCCTCCTTGCTTAGTGGGCAGTGGTCAGCAGAGCTCACCTGTGCTGCCTGTGCTCTCAGGTGTGTCACTCCACACAGGGAGGGCACAGAGAGGGCACGGGGAGGGTACAGGGAGAGGCTCCTCAGTGTCCCACACCTGTCCTCCCCTTTGCAGCTCCCTCCTAACTCGCTGGGCAGAGCAGGTGAGCTCACCTGTCCTGCCTGTGCTCCCAGGTGCGTCACTGCACACGGGGAGGGCACAGGGAAGGCACAGGGAGAGGCTCCTGGCTGTCCCACACCTCCCCTCTCCAGCTTCCTCCTCGCTCGCTGGGCAGCACAGGTGAGCTCACCTGTCCTACCTGCCCCCTCCAGGTGTGTCACTGCACACAGGGAGGCAGCTGGGAGCCCCATGGAGCTGTGGAGCAGAGGGAGCAGGGAAATCTCTGGCTGTGCCTGCAGGTGAGTGCTCACAGCAGGGAAATCTCTGGCTGTTCCTGCAGGTGAGTGCTGGGAGCAGGGAAATCTCTGGCTGTGCCTGCAGGTGAGCGCTGGGAGCAGGGAAATCTCTGGCTGTGCCTGCAGGTGAGTGCTGGGAGCAGGGAAATCTCTGGCTGTGCCTGCAGGTGAGCGCTGGGAGCAGGGAAATCTCTGGCTGTTCCTGCAGGTGAGTGCTGGGAGCAGGGAAATCTCTGGCTGTGGCTGCAGGTGAGTGCTCACAGCAGGGAAATCTCTGGCTGTGCCTGCAGGTGAGTGCTGGGAGCAGGGAAATCTCTGGCTGTGGCTGCAGGTGAGTGCTCACAGCAGGGAAATCTCTGGCTGTGGCTGCAGGTGAGTGCTCACAGCAGGGAAATCTCTGGCTGTGCCTGCAGGTGAGTGCTGGGAGCAGGGAAATCTCTGGCTGTGCCTGCAGGTGAGTGCTGGGAGCAGGGAAATCTCTGGCTGTGGCTGCAGGTGAGTGCTCACAACAGGGAAATCTCTGGCTGTGCCTGCAGGTGAGTGCTCACAGCAGGGAAATCTCTGGCTGTGGCTGCAGGTGAGTGCTGGGAGCAGGGAAATCTCTGGCTGTGCCTGCAGGTGAGTGCTGGGAGCAGGGAAATCTCTGGCTGTGCCTGCAGGTGAGCGCTGGGAGCAGGGAAATCTCTGGCTGTTCCCTGGGGTGGGTGCTCCGTGTGATAGCAGCGGAATTCGTTGCCACAGGGCGCTCGCAGCTGATTTTAAAGGCATTTTAAAAAGCCATTAGGCAAATTTGCGGCAGGGAAATTGATTGAGGGCCATTAAGCGGAGACACGGATGCAGCCTCTGGCTCCTGAGGCTCCTCGCCGTGCATTGCCTGGAGCTGGAGCACAGCCTGTTCCCTGCTCGGCTCCTTGTGCTGCTCCTGCGACAAACGCCGATCACTTGTTTTTAAAATTTTTGAAATGTTTAATAATAATAAAATGGTTATGAAAATAGTTATACAATTACAGTAATAATAATTTTGGACAATTTGAATTAGGACCATATGAGACAATAGAGTCAAAGATTTAAGGACAATTCGGGTACCTTTTCTGGGCAGCACGAGCTCGAAAAAGGACCCACGTTAGCAAAGGATTAACCCTTAAAAGCAACAGCCTGTTGCATATTCATACTCCTCATCCATGATGCATAAATTCCATTCGAACACAGGATTCTGTCTGGGCAGTGTCAGCTTCTTCCTCTGAATCCTGACAGCGCCTTCGAGGCGGGAAGAAGTTCGTTTCTTCTGATAATGGAGCAATAAATTCTTTTTCTCTGAAAGATTTGGGTATCTTGTGGCTGCTATCTCGCTGCTAGTCCTTTCTTTTAAACAAAGTATCTTACATAGCACCGTTTCTATTTTAACAATTTTTATAACCTAAAACTATATTTAACACACTACTTAAGAGAATTAATACAGCGTTACTTTCTAACACAACACATATAATATTCATTTTAATATTTGCGAAAAGCCAATCATAAAATACGCATTTTTCACAGGAACGTAAGACAATTGTGGCCTCCTCTGTTCCGACAACAATTGAAGATGGGGAATGGGAGTTCTACCAATGGGTTCATTTGTCATATTTGCATTGAAAAGGTAGAAAGTTCAGAACGAGGAAGACTTCATTTACTTTCTCACTTTGGGTCCCCTCCCCATGAAAGGGACTACCGACTCATTTCAAGGAACATGCTTAATGGCTTTTGAACTAATTACCATGCTTAATAGCTTTTGGACTAATTACCATGGGAAGCGGGGGAATGGGATGTACCAAAGTCATGACTATGTATTTGTGTTTTGTGTATTCAGTACTTGTATAGATAAAAGGGCTCTGTAATCACCTGTAAATTGAGATGTGTGTATTTGGGAGCTATCCCACAATAAACATAATAAACTTTCTAACTTTAAACTGTCAGAGAGTTCTTGTCCCTCACAGTTGGATATCAGTACTGGATCAATATCCATATTGGGAATGAGATTATGAATATCTATTTGTATTTTGGGTATTCAGTACTTGTATAGATAAAAAGGCTCTGTAATCACCTGTAAATTGCAGTGTGTATTTCGGAGCTATCCCATAATAAACAAACACTTTCTAACTTTAAACTGGCACAGTTGGATATTGGTACCAGATCAATATCCATATTGGGAATGGGATGTACCAAAGTCATGAATATGTATTTGAGTTTTGGGTATTCAATACTTGTACAGATAAAATCTGTAATCACCTGTAAATCATGGTGTGTATTTGGGAGCTATCCCACAATAAACAAACACTTTCTAACTTTAAACTGTAAGAGCGTTTTTGGATATCAAAATCCATAGATCAATATCCATATTGGGAATGTACCAAGGTTATCAATATGTACTTGTATTTTGGGTATTCAGTACTTGTGTAGATAAAAGGGCTCTGTGATCACCTGTAAATTAATACTTTATGGATATTTTATTGGAGAGCTCTGGGTGTCAGGGGTGCACAGACCCAAATCTGACCCGCCATGG